ATAATTTAGTTCTGCTATAGTTTTTTTATCAACATTTATTTTAATAGTAAAAATGTAGTTCATTCTTTCGAAAATGATTTTTTGATTTAAATTCTAAAACAAAAATATGCGTCAATGTGCGCACACATTTTTATTTCGGTAATCGTTAAAATACCTAAGTAGTTCATTTTCAAATGGTGTACATAAATTACTAAATGAATGGTTGTCCCTATCAAGTATGGTAGTATATGTGTGCCCGTTTTAGTTAGGTAATACTCTAAAATATACTTAAAACACATTAAAACAATCTAATTTTTGATAATGTGTGTTTTCCTTATCCTTTGTTCAGTATTTTTTATTATTGGATTTTTTCAAATATTTTATTCAAATTTGATCACTTTTAGGAACATCTTAAGATTTAAGCGTAGTGATTATTGTACTATATAATACATAAATCAATGATATTTATTTAAAATCTGTATCTGTTGGTTTACCTAATTTTAAGTTGTGTGGATACTTTTAAAAAATTCTGTAGAAAGTTTAGAACAATTTTAGTTGCAAATCAAACAGCTATAATTTTTTGAATTTGCTTTGGTAATACATTACAAATGTAATCTCGTTATGTAGTATTTTTTCCAAATATTTGAAATGTTTTATTAAATAAGTGGTTATTTTTTATACATGAAATAATTTATTTCTATAATTTTAGTACCACGACATTATAAAATAACAATTTTCAAATATAGTTTTCGTCGTTTTTTTTTCTACAAGTTTATAATTTTTATATTTAAAAACGGTGTTAAATTACATGTATTCAAGATTTACAAATGTTTCTAAGTTTTTACTTTAATACAATAATAAAAGAGTTTTAGTGAAACCTTTAATCTCTAAATTTAAAAATTAAAAACGAATACTTAGAAACTAAAATTGAATATATATGATTGCATAAATAGTTACGTACCTACTAAATTGTAATACTGCACAACGATCGTATTAATAGGTTGATTTTGACTCATCACCCACTACAACACATCTGTATCTATTTACTGAATTAGATAATCACGTTTAAATATGGTGACATACTTCGTATAAGTTATAATAAATAAAAATTAATTTTTTATTTAATGATGTAGTATAGGAACGTCAAAATAATAATATACTCCACTTAAGAAAATAACATCATTTTCATTTGTATGTGCATGGTATATATATATATTTAGGCATTAAGCGATTTTAATTAAAGTGTTAAGTATAAATATTCATTACGTTTCGATACACGTGACAAAAACGGTTAGTGTCTAACAAATATTTTTGAATAAAATGTATATCACTTTATGTATTATATTATACACATGTTGGTATGTTGCACAATGCAGACAGACAATGTTGTGCTATATGTATATAATATTTGAAATATTGTTACAAGATTTTGTATTTTGTGCAATATAAGATAATTCGGAATGATTTGCTATGAAATATGGTAAGAAATGTAAGTATATTGTGTATAAAAAGTGTCCGGGGATGGAATGGTAACTATATTTAGTCTAGAGGATTGAAATTTATCTGGGCCATCGATTTAGTGATCTTTATCAAATTAGTTGCAAACAACATCATCTTCATTTAGCTCTAATTGAAATTATATTTATATTTTAATGCTTAAAAATGTGTCGTTAATCTTATTCAATCTATATATTGAAATTTACAAGTAATACTATTCAATGTTCAGTAGATGTTTACATCATTTTATCGACGTTTTGTAATGAAGATTTAATAAAACTACTGAACAGTGCATTAATTTTTTTTAATACATGCAATTTTTTGAAACATGTAATAATTTTTAAAATAATATATGGATATGACTTGGTTACTAGGCTTCAGTTTTGGGTATAGCCAGGCCATCTGGAAGTTCCCGTTTACAGATAGGCCACTCTTTTTAATTAATTTTTCAACAACACAAAAGCAATTTTTTATTTTTAAATTTAAATATAAATGTTTTTGCAATCATAAATATATCATTTATTTTATGTTACTCACTGATCGTTAACATTTATAGTACACTTGTAAGTTACGTGAATCTAAATTATTTATACAGTATTTTACAATATGATACATGGTTATAAAACGACAAATATTTGTATTAATTCAGGTGGTGTCGAAAGAATACCAAGTTCTTAAGATAAACTATTATCAAATATGACTAAATTCCATTGTAAAAAATAAATAAATAATAATAATAATAATATAGTATAATAATTAATGTATTATAACGTAAAATATCGACTAATAAAAGGGAAAACGGGTTAACCGACAGTTGTATTACTTTTCAAAAGAGCAAAAACAAGATTACGTACTGTTCTTATTTCGACCGGTAAACGGTAAAATGAGCTTAACGTCATGGTCTAAACTGATGGACAACATGTGGTTAAAGCAATCGATCACACAATCATTAGTGGTTCTCTGACCATTCGGTAATGAGATATTTCATTTTTAGATTTTTGCACAAGCCACACCAATGAAAATTGAGTTCGCCAAGTAACCAACACTATATGACACTTGATCCATATTTTTATTGCTCATCACTAGGGAACGGAAATTTATATGTAAATACATATTTTTATTAAAACGAGATATTTAAAATTTGATAAGAAATGTTCATGATTTAAATCATTCCTATTAATATGATGCTACTTTTATTTTACATAGTTTTACATATTTTGGTATAATTACATATTTTTACATATTTCACTAATTTGTAAATATTTTAAACATATTTTATTATTTCATCATTCATACGTCTTCTTCGTACAAAAATACAAGAAATTATTTCAAATTTAGATCCAGTAACTTCTATCGCTATTAGAAAAGCTCAAAATATTATGCAAAATGAAACATTGAAAACTAATTTAATTTTCATCTCAGTGAATTTTAGTTTTATTGCACATACATTTATAAAATTAGAAACAAAAATATGTCCTTGAATGAAAGTATGCAAATTGTCGAATCAATGATTACAAAATGAAAACTCGTAAACGGACCAATAGGAGAAGTTGTAAAAAAGAAAATTCATGCTGTTACAGAAAAAAATTCCAGGCTACATTGATTTTAAATCATTCAATGACATAATGAGTAGCAGACACCCTTCTAAAAATTTGGAATTATTGCCTTCTAATATTATGCTCTTCAAATATGCTTAAATCAATTGATGTAGGTTGATGTGGAACGATCATTTAGCTGTTTTAAAATATTTTCAGATCTAACAGGCGACATTTAATATTTGATAATTAAAAATATATTATAATAATTCAATGCAAAAAATCATTTTGATAATTTAATAATTATAATTTTTTTTTTATTAAATTTTTTCCTTACATATTTGAATGGTTTTAGCACATATTTTATAAATTATTCTTACATACATATGTACATATTTATGTATTTTTATTACATATAAATCTGTTCCCTACTCATCACTTTTTATAATGTTGTTAATATGAAATTGATTTAGTACGATATCAATCGTTACATACTAGTTTTACTAATGTTAAAATTCTATTATACTAAACAATGATGAGGTTCGATCGATAATCAGACATACTATTATCATTAGAGAGCATTTCAAAATATTCTTATCTTTTACTTTTATAACATTTCTATTCATAAATGTAATTTGTATACGCATTTATAAATTAAATATTGCATTATTAAATAATGGTCAGAAGAACACTCTTGACCGACCAAGTTCTTTAATAGTCGGTTATATGTCTGTAATTTCATTGTTTTAATGTATTTGACAGAAGCAAAAAAAAAACAAAATTGGTGATCGTCTCGTAATTTATACCATGTCACTAAATTCCATTTGCCTTTTAACAGTCGATATTTTGACTATTTTTGAAATTATATGATGTCCCGTAAAGAAAATTTTATTGAGACTATTGGTGTACAAAATGTATATTTTTGTAATTTTTATTTTGTATTCGATACAAGACTTACAATTTTTTGTTTGGTTTCAACTCTTATAGGTAATGAGTAATAAATTTAATTTGGAATCAACAAAACAGTGATAATTTGATAAACTCCCTCGTTTAATCGACTCACTACTTTATGAGCTAATTTTTATTACTACGACGTAATGGGCAGATAAAGTTATACAGAATAAAACCAGGGTCGGAAACTTTTTTAAACATGCGGGCCATAAATTTTTTCACCTTTTCATCGAGGGTCACATAGGTAATAAAAAAAACAAGCCTTAAACATAATACTATTAATTTTATTATTATAAAAAATTATAATATTACATCAGTATTGTGTTAAATGTAAATATATGTATTTAATATGAGTTTTAGTACTAAATATTGATAAATTATTCTTAGAGAAAAATGTTAATATACTATTGAAAATTTTAAAATGTAAAATTGTAAAATTATGCGATTTATATGACTGCAATTTATTTGTGAAATCTTTGATATTGACTTGCAAACTTAAGGTTGAAATTCATAATACAACGTGTACATTTTCATCGGTATGACGTGAAAAGTGTTGACTTTTTCTGCACGTTCCATAATGGAAAATGTCTGATTACAAACATAAGTACTTGAAAATGCAGCTATAATTTGTTGAACAAATAGTCTGAATTCCTGAAATATAGATATGGTTTGACAACTACAAAATTGAGATGAACTAGAAGCTTCCCAAAAATAATTAGTAAAAATACCGATATTTTTTTTGGCAGATCACTCAAAATTGCTTTATGGTTTTTCCATTTTTAAATGGATGAATTATAATAATAAATCGATGTATATGTTTTAATTTATTAAGGAATTTTTTATGTTGCTAATGTGTTATTTTCCATATCTTAATATTTTGTTGAAATCATTTTTTGTATTGGTAGTATATAAGTGATTCATTTTTAGGGTTTTCAAATGCAGTGGAATTTCTCGTTGTAATGAAGTGAACAAAACAGAACGAGTGCGCATACTTATATTCTTTATGAACAGTAGTTTGGTCAATAGTTAAGTGTGTAGCCCTAAACTCGTTTCCTGGCACTTTCAAGATAACAATCGAAGTCGAGTATGCGTTAAGATAGTAAAAAGCAAGTTCGCGTGATAACGAAGCGATCGACGTTAACGGACGTACTCTAACATTAAATTTCGCGTTTCAGTGCAGTACGAGTGCAGATATCGAAGATCCGACAGTCGACGAAAAACCGAATAACACTAGGAAACCACGAGACTGTGGTGGTCGGACCGCCCGAGGTAAGATCAACAATGATGAGATCGAAAAATGCCTGTGTAAAAATTATAGTTCGATAACGATTCGAGTGCGGATTTATTATTGAATCGGTCGGCCCGTACCGCCTGGACACGAAACGATGACCAACTGCGGTAGAACGAACGATTTCACCGCGAAAAACCATGCCGTTCATTCGTAAGACCAGGAAATGGTTTTAACCGCTCGCTTATCGGGGTCCGAACGTTGTTTTACGTTTAATTACGCGTCACCGAACGTCTCGAGACGATAACGTTCAGCGGTTATTTTACCGTCGCAACGCCTACGCCGAACGCACTTTAGAGGAACCGCTCAAAGCGGTTATCGCTCGTCGGGTGCACGACGACACCGGGCAGCGGTCCCATTTCGCGTTATAAGATTATAATACGCGCGCGCGTAACAACAACAACAACAACAACAATGATGTATACAATATATACTGCCGATTACGAGAACTACTAGGTGCGCGGGGGGGGGGGGGGTCGTGCGCATATGACGTTTGTGATAAGCGCTTTGCCCCGCCGAGGTCGTAAGTCCTCTACGTGTATATATATATATATATATATGTATATACGTATATCCTTGTACGGAACGGCCGCGGTAATATATAATACATAGTCCTGTACGTAAGTAATGGTAGTTGCGGTGACGGCGGTAATAGTTTTGATAAAATCCCGCGGTTTTAATTAACAATGTCAATGGCAGAGGTATTTATGTGGGCGCGCGCGCGTGTGTGTCGCGGTGCGGCGGACGACGTGTCTACGTCTGGACCGGACGCCGTTGTTGGGGCGGGAGCGCGCGCGGACGAGAGGGACGGTTAGAGACGGTGGCGGCGGGACGCGGGAGGAGATAAAGGGCGCGTGCGAGAGAGAGTGCGCGGTGGCACAGCGAGAGGGAGAAAACCGCTTTTGCCGCTGTTAATGTAAAATAATATACGCGCCGTGTACACGTCCTATTCGCGTCGGCGCGCGTAACGCGGGAAAATTTATCGTATGCGGTCCGCGCGCCGCGCGCCTGCGACAGGCGGCCCGCCGTCGCCACGGCATTCCGCGCACCGACACCGTGCACGCCGGTAGTCGCGAGCTTGCACCGTCGTTACCGCTGCTACCGCGACCGCTCCGTTGTCACCGCGGGCCACGACGTACGCATGCAGGAGAACGCACGTCGACGACGGATCCCCGTCCCTTCCTCCACGGACGCCGTAAGTTCTATACATGTATCGTCGTAGTGTTAATACGTTATATTTGTTATTTCTATTGGTATTCGCGTCGCGTAGAACAGGATATTTTCGCGGTCGAGGCTTTCCCGTCGGAGTCGGCACCTACGAAAAATTGTTCACGGATCTTTCGTTTACTGGTAGTAATTGCGGTCTGCGCGATTCGCCAGGAGGCTCGGCCGTTGTACTCGCGTGGTGTTGCGACGGTTTCGAACCGGTTCCGTCCAGTGCAGTCGAGTATCGCTGTACTGCGCGGCGTGTGCCGTGTGCGATAAACGTCTTGTTGTGTAATCGGAAAAAAAAAAAAAAATAAAATAAACAATCAAGTAGTCGGGGATTTGAGACGGGGTAAAAATGCCGCCTTTGTCGGTGGTGTCGATGTTGATAACAATGAGATAATAGTGATCCGTAAAGGCGCGCTGGACCCCGCGTAGCCGTTATCGACAACGTTGTCTTGGGCACCGCGCGAAGATCGCGCGACGTGTGCCTGCCCACATGCACGTGCGGTGGCCACCGGCACAAAGGCGGCACCGGCAGCACATCGCAACGTACGCGCGCGGGCGCGGGCAGCGGTGGCGGCGTAGGCGCGGGCGATCGGCGGGTGAACACTTGCGCGCCACAAGGCGTATGAACAGGTGCCGGTGTGCGGCCGCGGCGTGTTGTAACAAGTGTCGGGCGCACATGCGGGTGACGGGTACGGGGCGCCTCGCCGAAGAAACAAACACGCGCGCGCACGAACACCGGCGGAACACGATTGATTTAAAAACCGCGTCCGGCGTGCGGTCAGCGCTACCGCGAGAAACCCGACCGCCGACACGCACGTTGCCGGCACGAGCACCGTCTCACGTTCGCGCCGTCCGTCACGTGCTCAGGCTGCGATCCGCGGACGACGCGACCCACCGGGATGCGGGCCAAAGGCTATCGCAGGTCCTTCTACTCCGCCGCAGAGGACCGCGCAGCTCCGGCAGGTCACGCACGTCGCCCCGGGTCGGACCGCGGTGGACAGGAAGCCCGTCCGATACCCTTCACCGCCCTAGAACTTTTCGCTATCGGGTCTCCAGGGTTCCCCGCCCCCAGCCCCGGGAACGTTTCTCGAACCCCACCGAAACGTTTGCCGGTGCACGGGAAGTAATGGTCCCTTAGCTGGGGACGAGTTTAGCTCCTCGACTGCGCTGTCGATCAATCTTATTGGATCCGATTGAAATACGTGCTCGCTTCAAACGATGTGTCGCGCAACGTTACCGGCGACGATTGCTGTGCGCGGTACGATTGTCTCGTCATCCGCGTTATTTGGTATTTATTTATTTTTTCTTCCCCGTCCGAGAAAGTATTGTTGTCCTCTAACGTTGTACGGAGATTTCGGATTTCGCATCATTTTTTTTCTTCTGAAATTCGAGCATACTCTTTTGCAACGATTTTGTTTCGTTTATACTATCAATATCTGTTAATAAGTGTTTCTAAAGCTTCAAACGAAATACAATGTTGTCAAACGAATCGAATTCGAATAGTTATCATTATAAATATGTACAACACATAATAATATAAGTACAATAAATATCTACAATTATGCAGACCAATAAGTGTATCCGTTTATTTGCTCATTGAATAAGTCATGTTTTCGCTTTTCGATCATATTCAAATTTTACGATACGAGTATATTACTATCATGTTTATGTTCGTAATACATTTTAAAGGTAAATTCAAAGTTTTACGGAAAATAACATTTTTTTAACCAACTCTTGAAAAGTTACAAGCGGTTTCGTTTGGGTGAACTTTATACGTAACTGTCAGGTCCAGGCACGTAGACAGGTATACAGTTCAAGGAGTTGCGGTTCAACCATATGAAATGTTTTAAAATCTATTACTTTTGTTTTTGGTAAGCTCTGGTTATTTTTTTGTTTTCATATTTCAAATTTCTTCGGGGATATTAGATTTCCAAAGGTGCGGAGACGATCAATAACGATCGTTGCTCGGGTTATGTATACTAAAGATTAAAATTATGTTAAAACTGTTTTATTAGCTGCATATAGTATAGTTTACGTTATTGCAGTACAGAATAATAAATTATACATAACTGTATAGTTATAATTGGAATTTTTCTTTTACGTTTTAAAAGTATTTATAGATACTGTGAATATATGTTGATATTATAAAATATGATATACAAATTTAATTCGAAATTCTTTACATTTTTTAATTGTATAATATTAATTTTTATAAAATCCAAGCTTGATTCATAGTCCGTTATTACTAAGAATCATGCTCATATAATATTTCATAAACTATTGTGTGATATAAAAGATTTAGAATTTCTAAATTTCTTGGACTTGTATTTATCTACCTAAACCTAAATAATTATTTGACTTTTGAACTTTTTACAAACATTGTCTATACTAAGAATTTTATTTTTTCATTTACAAACGCATAAATACAATAAATTTTAAACCCCTGTGCTTACAAAATCTTTTTTAAATGCAATGTATGATTACTCATAAATCCATTGTATTAGTTCAATTTATAGGCTTGAGCTTATGAGAACGTAACAAGACTAATTTCTGATGCTATAATACAAAGCCTTTTTATCCCGTATGTATTTTTACTGTTTGTTTTTTGTGTTAAGTTGTTTAGTTAAATAACTCGATTATAAAAAAAATATCACAAGTAATTTATTTAGGTAAAATAAATCCGATCCTTTATCCTTTGAACACTCTGTAGTGTACGTGTGTACGTGTAAATGTGTAGCTGTTGAATTAATAAGAATGATTTAATGTTTTTATATTGATTTTGTTTGTTTGAACAATAAATGGACATACGCTGGGGGTGTCCAAAGTATGCACCTGCATACTCTGAATACAGTATAACCAGTACGTTTGTTTTTAATAAATTATTCCCATTTTTCATTTTCGTATTTCTTATTTCTAATTACAGGTAGTGTCTGAAAAATGTATAGCAGCTTATATTATATTAACTCATATTGAATTCATAAATTTTACGATCAAAACAGTTGAATATTTATTTTTTTTTTTAACATATAAATAAACAAATAGTTTTTATATAAAAATAAATAAATAAATGTTTAGCCTGGAATATTATTAAATTTGTAAATTACGACCAGTTTCGAATTAAAAATTCATAGTCAGGAGGTATACATAAAGTCAATTAAATTGCGATTTTTATTTTATACACTGATTTACGAGTATCAACCATTTAATATTTTTTAATTTTTAATTTAATTTATAATATTATTGTTTTTTTTTTTTTTTTTTTTTTTTTTTTTAAAAATTCTCGAAATAAATAAAAAAAAAAAAAAAAAAATAATTTAAGTTCACAATTTGTTAAAAATGCTTTATATATCTTTCTTTTAAAACATTGAAAATCACTCCAATGAGTAATTTCAATCAGTTATTTTAAAAATATTCAACTATAAAATTTGATAAAGAAATAAAATATAATATTTAATTATATTACGGATGATGAGGTGGAAGAGGATGTATTTGCCTGCCAAAATTTTGAAAAAAGTCTGCGCGCACCTATCATATGATTTGTTTAAGTATTTAAAACATCAATGTGTGTCAAAATAAACACCAAATATATTAGCGCTTATTGGTAGGTTTAAATTCGCTGTACATAATATGTATTGCACGTTTTTTTAACTGAAAAAAACCGATTTAATTTATGTGGTAATATTCAGAAAAAATAATCAGGTTATAAATAATAAAATAAAGTTTTCGTGAGCAGAATAATCAACTAACATTTTACATGGTACACCCT